TACATATTGTAATTGAAAATTAATAAAAATTAAACAGTTTATTTTGCCGAGATAAGAATTTTCTTAAAGAAAACTACATTTCAAGAAACCAAATAAAGTTTGGCTTACAATTTGTTTAAATCATCAAATCCATTTATGGATAATGTGCATTGAAAAAAAAAAAAAACTTATGTTATTTTTAAAATTCTGACATTCTCTTGAAAACCACTCACTATCTGCAAGGAGTAAAGTAAATATTTGTTGAGTATTTGTAAAAAATAAACAATGTTGAAAATAGATATATAGATAGATATGTGTGTGTGTGAGAAAGATAGAGATAAAGTGAGCATTAATGTGCAAATATTTGAAGTTATGTTTTATGATGTTGTCTATTATTATTGCCATATATTTTTTGTACTAAAAAACGAATATCTGTCTTATGAGTTAAACAAACTTTTTTCTCTTTTTTTTTTTTGTAAATGAATATTCAGTGTAACTTATGATGAGTATCCAAAATATAAAATACCATTTTTAATGAAGAGACTGTTCTTTTGTTTTCAGAATGAAATCAATTAAATAAATTCCTCTTTTTCGTATCAAGAATCGTAACGAAACAAGACGAATGGCAATTATTTAAACCTAAAGTATATAAACATATAAACCTGTGAAACAAAAAAAAACAATGTTTGAATGTTTATATATGTATGTAACAAAACAGTAAATAGCTAATAATCTAAAATGAATTATTTTTTTTTAAATATTTAAAAAAAATTAGAATGTAATGAATGACAATCGACACTAGTTATAAATATTTTATAAATAATGTGCTAAAAATGTGTTAATTTCGACAAATGAAAAGTTATACTGTATAAGTAAAAATTATATCATAGGTTAGAAAAAATTTAAATTAATAACAGCTACTCCAAATTTAACTTGTAGGGTTTGATTGTGAGGGTTTCCTCACTTTTGAAAAAAACCCACTGTTTGTGGAGTTCCCCATTTATTCACTTTATAAATAATGACAGCAACACCATACTGTTAAAAAGATGTGAATAATTATAAAAATATTATAGTTAAAACTTAAATATATCATTCTTGTTGTTAATGTTGATTACGTTTGTGTTGTTTTTGTAAATGATTTATTCATCAAGGGTTTTTTAATAGTGTACACATCACAAAATGTATATTGTATAAAAAATAGTCATCATTTTTGTTGTTTTTTTTCAGTGATTATGAATGATGAATTAAAGTAATTTTAATATTTAAGAAAATCGGATAAATAGTTCAGATATTTTGTAAAGGCTACATGAAAGACACAGGGGTCAGATAATGTAAGCTTAAACCAGTCTTGTTCCAAGAAGGAAAAAAAAAAAAAAAAGAAAAATTCTGGAAGGAGACAGACACACTGACGTACGGACAGACAGACAAATGAAGAGATATCAACGAACGAATAAAGAGAGCGAAAGAAAAGGTCAGTTTGCTGTAACTGCCTCAAAAGATTAAAGTATATACTTTGTACTACGGGTGGCCTGTCCGGCCATCGAAATAAAAATCAAAGAAATAAATAAAAATAAAAATAGGTATACTTCATATGATCATCTGAACCTACACTTAGAGAGAAAGAAAATTAAACTATTTCTGGACAAATTAAAAATAATAGGAAAAAAAAAATGACACATAATTTTTGGATAAAAAAACCGTGTACGTTTACAAAAAATTTAAACGATCTATTTTTTTTAATTATTATAAATGATAAAAAAAAATAGTTACTAACCGAGACATTTAGCCTCAAAGTTTAAACTCATTTTCATATTTTTTTTTATTTTTCCTTAATTTAACAAGATGATATTTTTAACTAGACCAATTGCTAATCGAATTCTAAATCGATAATATAAATAAATAAACTATATATATATATATATATATATATATATATATATATATATATATATATATATATAGTTAGTAATGGATTATTTAAAATTAAAAATATATAAATAAAAAAATTAAAAAAAATATTGGAGTGTGGGGGTTACTATTATTTTGACATTGTGTTATGTTCTGTATATAAATATTGTTTTGACAACAACAGTCTTTGTTTTTAGAAAAATTCCTTGAGACCACCTTTTAGATACTGATATGAAAAAATATATATTTAATAATTCAGTTGTATATGCATTTCATATTTTCCTACTAGTATTTTTTTCAAGTAACAAAAACAAAAGAAAAAAAATCTATTAAAAGAAAAATAAGTAAATAAAAAAAAACTATTTTAAATTAAATATAAAATCGAAATTATAATAAAAACTAAAATTGGAAATCAATTTTCATATTTAAATAAAAACTTCAATATTAATCGCTACATTGAAATAAGCAAGTGAGAAAAAATATGTATATTTTAAAACAAAAAGTATACACGTGCAAGCAAAACAATATATATATATATATATATATATATATATATATATTTATGAATATTTTTTATTTCATAAAATCGTTGAGAACGATCTTGCATTTTTTTTCTTTTTTTTATGCATATATTTTTTTTCCTCTGCTCTCAATTTTTTTTATTTTTTTATTTCTAAACATTCCATTTTAATTTCTTTTATATACATTTTACTTACCGTTGTTGTCCAAGAAAGAGGCAACTTGTTGTTCATTTTCGATATGTTTCGGATGAAGCTGCTTACGGCGTGACATCCTCGGAAAAAGTAGACTCCCCAATGACAAAACTCGACTAGTCGCTATTTGTGATTTATATACAAGGCGCCCCTTTGCGCATGTCACAGTTATGATTATCAATAACGCACTGCGATTATCATAATCAATTTGTAAGAAGACATTTGATTGGCTTTGATCCTGGTTACCAATTAGCTGTGTAAATATCGCAGACAGTCGATGATAGAAAGCTGCAACTACTCTATGGAAATACGGTTCGTTTAATATTATTGTGTCTTGAGGTGTGATAGACAACATATTGTGAAATACTTCATCTGGGGAAATCTCTGAGGCTTTGTTCGGCTTTTTGTTGTCGTCGTCGTCGTCGTCGTCGTTGTCGACGGCCCGTTTGGTAGAACAGCTCGCTTACGTAATGCGTTGTTATACATCGCGAAAAAAAAAAAAACTAAAAAACAGATCGACTAAGAAGTAAAGAAAAAAAAAAGGGGGGCGAGGGAGAGGTAGAAAAAAAAGAGAAAGAGAAGAGAAATCTGTAGAAAGAGATAAAGAAATAAAAAAAAATGTTTTTTTAAAAAAATTTAAAAAAACGTAAAAGATGAATGAAACGGAAAAAAATAAATAAATATTTTTTTTTTGTATATTAAAAAAATCTCTAAATTTCAAGTTGGATGAAGGGTATTTTTTTTCCTTTTCTTTTTAGATAAGTAAAAACTGGGAAAAGGTTTTAAAAATAAAGTAAATTTGAAATCAATCTTTTTTTTTTTCTTTCCTTGTTTTTCTTTTTCTTTTTTTTTAACCTTTAAGTTTTTTGAAACTCGTTTCTTTTTAAATGTTCCTGTTTTGTTATGAGATATTTTTTTCCCCGTGTTTTTTTTTTTCCTCGTTTGTTTTTTACCCCTTCTCCTTTTTAAAGGTACAAATAACGGAAGGGGTTTAAAAACGTAGCTGTGTAAGAGACGAAGAATTAGGTAGATACTTTTATCCTTGTATACTGTCCACTTCTCCGTAACATCGACTCTTTTTCGCTTGTAAACTTGTCATGATTTTCATTAAAAAATCACCAACTTCGTTGTCATCATCGTCGTAGCTACGGTAAATATGAGTCGATATCCTCTTTCGTTCATAAAGAGGCCCGGTGTTTTTTAATGCCATTAAGTATATAAATAATGATAATAATAACTGCTTATAACTTTTAAAGGAAGGTGCGTCTCCTCCTTTCTATTCGTTTCAACCTCTCACTCACACTCACTCTCTCACTTTCACCCTCTCTCTCACGCTTTCACCCTCTCTCTATCACTTTTCTCACCGACTGAATATATGTCTCGCCAATGCTGCAGTTGAAAATGTTCTACTTTTTCCTTTTTGTTACTACTGTTGTTTGTTTTTGCTTCTTTTTTTTTCTTTTCGTTTTCTTCTTCGTTTTGTTTGTTTGTTTGTGTGTTTAATGTTTTCTTAATCCAGTATTGTACTTTCGTTTTCATTCATCGACTCGTTCGCTAGTCCTTCTTTTTTTTATTATTCCTGTCGATTCGAGCTGTGATTTTTCTTTCTTTCTTTGTTTTTCTTTTTATCTTCTTCGTTTTAAAGAAGATTTTTGCCAAATCTTTTCTGACTATATAATATGTATATATATATATAAATATATATATATATATATATATCTATATATATATTTATATATATATATATATATTTTAGAAAGAGGAAAGCTTCGACAGCGACTCAACTGGACTGACTAACTAATCCGGCTGGACTGTTCACGCTAGGTAACGATAAGGGTGGGTGGATTTGGATTGTTGGGGATGGACGGTGGGGTCAAATAAAATCATGAAAGAGAGGAAAAGGGAGAAGTGACAAAGAAAGAAAAAATAAACGAAAAAGCACGTCTCAAAATGATAGTTATGAAAAATGGTATAGATAGATAGATAGATAGACTAGAGACAGAGAGAGAGAGAGAAAGAGATGCAGTAGGGGAAATAATACTTTCTAATGTAAGAACTAGAGAATAGAATAGAGGTCATACGTAAATCTTTATATTTGACCCGAATTGTATATATTATAGGTAGATATTACACGTATGTCTCTAAAACGCCATGTTTTTCTCTTTCTTTTCATTGTACCTTTTTTCTTCTTTCTCATTTCTCCTCCCTTTCTTGCTCAGCTAGCGTTTCCCCCTTTCCACGATCTAATATCTCATTCTAACCCCCACCTTTCAAGGTTATTCCATATTTTATATGGCAAACACTCCGCCTCTATCCTCTTTGACGTCTCGCGTTGAAGATTTATATTGAATATGATTATATCGCCAGCACGAATCGAATTCTTCTTATTATTGAGGTAGGTACTTAGATCACACCCACATTTCACAATGAACGTAACGATTTGACATGATTTCGCAAACACACTCACGCACACACACACAGACACACACACACACGCATAGACACACGCAAACACACATAGACTCACGCACGCGCGCGCGCGCGCACACACACACACACACGCACATACACACTCACACTCCACACATGGGCCGGACTCCCCCTCCATGTGCAAACACTTCATACTGTATAATATTCTACACACGCACACACACTGTCTCACACACAACGCACACACACGCTCTCCCTCTCTATCTGTTTCTTTAAAACACAACAAAATGGACAACTTACCCGGTAACTAGGAAATAAAATAGATAAATATATATATATATATATATAAAACTATTTGAATTCATATGATACAAACACAGACGCAGATGTGACACATGCATTTTCTATTAATCTATCTGTGATATATTTTCATTGAATTTTTGTATAACATGCCCATTAATCTTCTTTATATATATTGCAACATTAAATTTTAATATTTATATATATAGATTAAGTATTATTTCATATATATATTCATATATATATATTTGTATATATATATATATATATATATAATTATCTACATATCTATATATATTACATTCGTCCATATATATATATTACTATATATATAGCCCACGTGCCCTATACAATGAGCCCTTGTAAAATCCAAAGAAGAATCCTTCTTATTGGTCCTAAATTTCATAATCAACTTGTATTCATATAAATAATAAATTTATTGCCTAAATTTTCTTATAATATATATCATATATATATATATATCCCACAAGAAAAATTGACGTTTTAATACAATGAATCTAAATACAAATTAGAGACATAATTTCTTTGATTGATCGTTAAAAGGGGCAATGTTTTGCGGCTTTTTTAACATCAACTGATGGAATTTTCTTCTTTTAAAATTTAATAATTTCATTATAAATTTTGGTAAAAAAAAAAACTGTTGCTGTTTCTTAGACAAACGTCAATTCATTTTGTTTTTATATTCCGTCAGATTTAACCGCTCGACAGTAAACGCAGCCTGGCATTATTAGGTCGTAATTCCTTTAAAATACCGAGCCAACGGCAGCCATTTTGCCGTCCTTTTCGGTAACTGCATTTGTTCTGTCGGTGAAGGAAATCATGGGAGATATTTTATAGGTCGTAAAATGCATGCCAAAAGATCGCTTAGAATCGCATCGCACATAGCGGGTTAATTTATCTACGACACCGAAATCTGAAGGCGCAATGGGACAGCGTGATGTGTCAGATGCTAAAACAAAGTATGAAAAACAGTCTTTTTTCATTGGAAACAAAGAAAAAAGTAGTGAAGTGTTATTGAATATCGTTACTCATACTGGACTATATAATCATATTTGTAAGAAGAGATATCCAGGAACAGAAATGGATTGATTCTAAAAGAAGGATGTTGAATCACACCAACTTGTGAGCAACGACGAAGTTTTAAGAGAAAATGGAAATATAATAATTCTGTAATAAAATTAATATAAAATTACAAATATTCGTAATAATTTGTAATATAAAGATACAATAATTGTTTTAAGAGTCAAAATAAATATTTTACGCAATATTCAAGTTGCATTTTTTTTTGTTCGTAAATATTACGTCATATAAAAAATATGACTAATTGTAATATATCATATAAATATTTCAATTTCATTAATATTAAATTCAAAAAATATGATAAAAAGATTATTTATTTTTTACAAATAAAATTTATAATTGTATATAAACTATATAAATATGATAATTGTTTTATTAAGTCAAAAAAATATGATAATTCATAATATTAAAAAATATAAACACATGAAAATTAAAAAAATTAAAAGATAAAAACATGACATTTATATTAAGTCATATAATTCGTAATATAAACTCATATAAAATATATTAATATATATATTAAGTATAAATAAATATATGATAATTCATTGTTAAACTTTGACATAAAACCATGATAATTCGTAATATTAAGAGATAAAAAAATGATAATTTATAATATTAAGTCATATAATTCGTAATATAAACTCATATAAAATATGATAATTCGTGATATTAAGTTTTATTATACAAATATGATAATTCATAATATTAAGTCATATGTCAGTGAATATGATAATTTATAATATTAAGACATAAAAAAATGCCTATATTGTGTATTGTGATAAAATAATTTTGATGCGTCATAAAAACAGATAATTTGCTTTTATTAAGTCATATATGATAAATTATAATATTAAGTCATATCTATATAAAAAACTCATATAAAATATGAAAATTCGGCCCATTAAGTCATATAAAAATATGGTAATTATGGAGGAGAATATAAACTCATATAAAATATAATTCGTATTTTAATAAGTCATAACAGTCATGTTATGTGCCATGCGTGATATGCAAAAAAGAAATGGACATTTCGATATATAATCTTTATTTTTTTTTCAGTGATTGCCATTTTTTATGCGGTTGGTAGACCTATCCAAGACTATAGACCATACCTATCCATTTAACTGTTGGGAGAAGAACAGGGGAATTTATACGTATTAGCACGTAAGTGAATGCAATGATTTCATTCAAATCAAAAACGAGGAAGATAAAAAAGAAAAATATACATATAATCAGTGTGTATGTATCCAGTAATCCACCATGGCCCATAATTGCTATTTATTGAATTTTTTATAAATATATAAAAAATATATAATATAATATTAAGTATATATAAAATATATACAATTCATAATTTAATATATATATATATAAAATGATATGTTTAATATATATACATATATATATTTGTATATATATGTAATGATATATTTAATTTATATCGACAATCGATATATAAATAGCGACTATAAAATAAAGTTTATTTTAATAAATAGATAATATAAGATATGTTTAAATTATTAAAGAACTGTATGAAAGAAAATATAAATAAAATATATATATATATTATTATTTATATAAAAAAACATTGCTTCCAGAAGAGTAAACAGATTTTGAAAGAAATATATGTTAATTTCAGTTGCTTTAAACTTTATATTTATATGAACAAAAGATTCTCTTCTGAAATTGGGAGATATCCCATAGATATAGCAATTTTTTTATTTAAATTTCTTTTATATATATATATCATATATATATATATATATATAACTTAGTATAAATATATATATATATATATATATAAAAATATATATTAATACGCACAAACACACACATATGTAGAGGACATACATATTATAAAAAATCTATCTATCTAAATTTATATATATATATATATATATATATATATATATAAGAAGATATAAATTTTAATTTATTTAACTTAATCTGTATATATTTTGTGCTTTTATATATATATTTTTAAAGTACAGAAGCCAAATATGCAAGTCGGTTGTTATTGAATTTTTAAAACAAACGGGCTGATTTTTAATCCATAATTTTTTTTCAACGACTGGTCTTGTGACCATCATTGTTTGTTTTTTTACACGTTACAAATAATAAAACGTTTGTTTGTTTCTCCTCTCTCTTTTAATATGTGTGTGTTTTTGTGTATTTGAACAACTATAAGCATCTTTCCTTTATATTTATATAGGATATATATACTATATATTTTGCTTGTAAATGATTTTTGTTGTGTTTCATTAAAATACTGCAGACAAGATACATCACAAATTAAGACAGACACAGACGAATTTATTTTATTATTATATATATATAAATATGATGTTTTTTTTCTTTATTTTCTCCTGAAATGTCTAAAGTTTTTAACTGGTATGGTTTGTGATCATCATAATAGACAGGTTGAGAATATATTATTTTACATACACACAGCACACACACACACACACACACACACACAGAACCCTTATATAATATATATGGCTTTTTAGACTTTTGTTTTTATTAAATATAAATTTTATTTATCTATTTTACATGTGAATGAAAATATTATGTTTGTGTTTTTAATGGGACGTATGGGGTTTTTTATTTTCAAGCATGTGTTTAAATGTACTTATTTGTAACATACGTTATATTTTAAGTCGTATTTACAGATATCATATATATATTATATATATATAGACAGTGTATACACACATACAAACACAAATACATAAATATCTGAATACTGAACATCTACTTAAAAGCAGGTATCCATGCAAGATCGCTCTTAATAAAAATATTCTCTTCTAACCCAGAATATAAATATATATATATATACAGTATATGTATGCGTAAAGGATGTACTTATGTATATATATATATATATTATCTATATATATATATATATATATATATATATATATATATATATATATATGATATATATTAGATATATAAATAGATTTTAATAGATATTTAATTCTTGTTTATATGTATATTCTTTCATCTATTTTATTTTGTTATCATTATCTATCTATATAGATCATGTCTATCTATATATCATCTATATGTTCATATGTCTCTATCTGTCTAAAATTATCTGTCTTATCTATATCTATCTATCTATTCATTCATCTATCTGTCTATCTCTCTCTTTCTATTTATCTATTATCTATCTATCTATCTATCTATTCATCTATCTGTTCTCTATTCTTTGCCTATCTATCTATCTATCTATCTCATCTGTTCTATCTATCTATCTATCTATCTCTATCTATCTATTCATCTATTCATCTATCTATTCATTCATCTCATTCATTCATTCATCTATCTATCTATAAATTTCATTCATCTATTTCTATTCTCATCTATCTATCTCATCTATATCTATCTATATTCATTTGTCTATCTATCTATCTATCTATCCATCTGTCTATTTCATCTATTCATCTATCTATCTATTCTATCATTTTGTTTTCATTCATCTATCTATCTATTTCTATTCCATTGATCTATCTATTTTTTCATTCATTTGTCGATCTATTATGATCTGTTTGTTTCTATCTATTTATCTATATATATATTTGTCTATATATAAACATAATTCATGTCTATCTATATAAAATGATTATGAAATTTTCATTCATAGGCTAATATTTTGTTTATAAAATGAGTTATGTTTAACGTATTTCAGCCTTTTTGTATATAAGGAACTATGTTTATAGTTGCAGAATTTTAATAAGCCAATATGCATATATATATATAATTGACAGCATGAATTAGCGCATATATATATTTATCTATTAAATTGGTATGTATTTATCTAAAAATATATCAGCACATATAAAAATATTTAAGTCCAAAATATATCATCAGATACTTATATGATAGTATATTAGATAAAAGAAACCCAATTGGATATATATATAGAAAATAAATTAGAAGCATTAAAATATTAAAACGGATCTCTACATTCATCAACTGTTTAACGTTACATTGACTGCCGAAAATATATTTTAAGATAATATAATTAATATGGCCACAGGTAATGTGGATATACGAAATTTCAGAAAAGTAAAAACATCATAGTTAGGCCTAGAACAGTTATTTTCATAAATAAATGAATCTATCTTCATTTCATGAGATCTTTCTATCTATCTATCTATCTTGTTTTATATCTTTTTTTTTCCATTTCTTTAAAGAAACAAAGAATTTTGTCGACCCTCAAAGTTCAGAACGAAACAAAATAAATTGGATTTTGAAAATTTAGAACATGGCCTAAAAGGAGAAAACATTGCAGTAAATTTGAACAATTTTTTTTATCCATCAATTCTCCTAATATGTCTATCTATCTAAGAGATAGAGAAATAGCTGTTATACATAAAATTGTAACACAATTTTTTGTAGAGCATCGTAAACAATTGATTCCAAATTGTTAGACAGAGAAAGAGTTATCTAAAGGAAAAAAAAAGGAAAAGGCCTATATAAAATATAAAGAAGGAACTGAATATAAGGAAAAATAAAAAAAATGAAAAAGTTATCTTCTATTTATTTCCTGAAAAATGTTCTCTCTCTCTCTCTCTCTGACTCTTCTCTCTTTTCCTCTTATTCCCTACTTTTCTGTTTTTGACCCCAAGGAGAATCCGGAAGAACTACATCAAAGGGGTATGTGGCATGGGGGTTTTATAACCGTTTCAGTTCTAATCTTTTCGAATTAAAATTTCGAATTCTTTTGAGGAGATTCCTGGGTTTAATTCGTTTAAAGAGGTTTCATTGACCCAATAGGTCCGTATAAAACCCGAAAGGGATTTGTGAAGTCGAGGACCCCAATTGAGATGTTTTTCACAATTCACAAACCCCGTTAGAACATTTTTCTTCTGTTCCTTTTCTTCTTCTTTTTTGAAGATTTTAATTTCTAATTTTTTTTAAAAATATTTATATTATATTTTAACTTGTCTATATGTGAAATATCGTTTTTCGTTAAAAAACCAAAAAGTCGTTGTTCCGTCCATGATATATATATCCTTTTTTTTTTCTTCTTCCTGCCTTAAAGTCTTTTCTTTATCTTGTTGAAATTGTCCCGTATTTATTGTTATCCCAGGATATTATAATTATAACTTTTTCCCGATGAAAAAGAAACATATAGCCAAACGCCATTGTTTTACAATGAAAAAGCTTACAAGATGAAATAAACGTATTTCCACTATTAAATGTAAAAAAATTTTTATTTAAGAGGTTAAAATAGTTCAAAATGATTTTTGAATACCTCCAACTTTTTACAGATATCCAGAGTCTTATAAAAGATAATAATAAGATAACTAAATCATTAAACTTTTATTGATGACAGTTAAAACGTTTAAGCAGCTCCATTATAAGCTCCAAATTATGATTTTAAAACAGCTGTTTTGTCAAAATGATAAAATCACAATGTATATTTGTCTCAACATATTGCATATTACGACTAGGTTCTGTATTTATATAGTTCTGATTTTTAAGGATTTTCATTAAACTAGTTTGAACTTTGAAAAAAAAACATATTTTTTACCACGTTAGAAATAGTCGGTATTTTCGCCTGAGTATAAAAGCACACCATTTTTTTTTATTTTCTTTTGTGTTACAAAAAAAAAAAAACTTTTTTTAATTGTTGTTTTGGTACATCGAGGATCATCTTGTTGCATTGGTTTTTAGGTGAGAGCTCATATTATTTACAATTTTGTTTCACCCAATGAAATACCCAAGAGCTACCTTCATTAGAGTTTTGTTTTATCCATAGGAATTGAGGATTATATGGATATAAAACACAGAGATACCACACATTGCAATAGGTCATAATCAAGGTTAAAAGATATTCCATTAAAAATTGTTGATATGAACAACCAAACTATTTTCGACAAATAGTTTTATTTTTTTTCACAGACGATGACGACTTGTTTTTATAACCAGTTTATTATTGATCTAAATACCTCCCTGAACAGGACTCTACCCTTCGGTATATCCGTACGCCCATTTGCCCGAAAGTAGAGAGTTTTGACAGATTTCATCTGAAAAAGAAGCTAGTGTAAAAAATAACTTTTTATACGCAGTCACATGTTTGTAAAAAATATATAATTTATATATATATATATAGCCCATAGGCTATATATATATATATTATAAATAGATCCCGCATAAACGGGATTGATCCTTTTTACCTTCGCATAGCCTCATTCAAAATCTTGTTTCGAAAATAGAGTGTCTGACCAAAACGCCTGAAAGATTTATCAATGCAGTTATTAACTATAAAGAAACAATGGCAAATGTTATATATAAGAAGAACTTTAATAATGTACGTTCCTGTTTTCAAAGATCTAACTATTTGTTTTTTAACAGTCAAATTCATTAGTGAAATATTCAGTCCACCCACTTACCTGAAATTTAAAACAATGCAGTTATTAATAAGAGTTGAAATTAATGCATGCAAGAAATTTTAGAGATCTCTCAAACGCTCATAGTCAGCTTTTTAAATTAGCACTCGTCCAACAAAGTATAGTAATTAATAAGAGTTGCATCACTGATTCATAAAATCAGTCTACGAAATTTTCAGTCGACCCCCAACCCCGTGTCTGGAAAGAAACAATGCATTTATTAATATAAAGAATTGAAATTAATGCATGGAAGATTTTTGAGATCGAGCATCAATCGCTCATAGTCAGCCTATAAAATTTGCTGTCGTCCCACGTATCTGGAATGAAACAATGCAGTTATTAATAAGAGTTGAAATTAATGTGGATTTCAGAGATCTGGTATCCCATTGTTTAAAGTCAGACTATGAAATATTCAGTCCAATTCGATACCTGAAAGAAACAATGGCTATAATTAATAAGAGTTGAAATATAAAATGCAAAATTTCAGAGATCTAGGCATCACACGTTCATAGTCAGCCTATGAAAATTTTAGCCCACCCTCCTATAAAAAGGAAGTGTGGAAATGCGTAAAGAATGAAAAGGTGTGATATCAAAAGGGAAGGTCTTGGACCAATGATAAATGACCATTCGGCAGTTTCTACCAAATATAAAACTGCCTGCGGTGATGAAATTTTGACCAAGTTTGAACTGAAAGATTTAATGAACAGTCGCAAACTTCCTGAGATTTGAAAAACGGACTTTTTTTCATTTTAATTAATATCGTGAATTATAAAACCTAACAAAGATACGCGAATCGCTTACAGCAGTATTGGAAACCCAGTGGTATTTATATAAACACATACACACACACACACACGCACACCTATCCTATGAGTTATCTCTATATATTTGCTCCCTATATATATATATATATATATATATATATATATATATATATAGAAATGGACAAATGCCTGAAAATTTATTTATTAAAGACATTTTTATGTTTAACGTTCTTTTTTTATAGATACAAGTATTAAAAGAATGCTCTGTTTATAATAAATAGTATTAAATAATAATAATAATAATTATATATATATATATGTGTGTGTGTGTATGTTTGTATTAATACGCCAATTCAAGTAAGTCAATAAAGCCACTACGACGCAAGAGGTTACTGCGTTAGAGAATATGAGAAAATTACTATTAAGGAGGAGAAAAATCATAATGAATTAAGAAGTCAGAAGATAACAATTAACATTAAATTTAAATTTTGAAGACCAAAATTGGTTGGTAGCAAGAAGCAAGAGAGTTCCACAAACGAGAAGTGCGACAGAAGAAATTTTTAGCATAGAAATTACTGTTACATCTTCATTTCAACTGTAAAACGATATTTAATACCGCTTATTAGTAAACAGAGCTAAATTTAAATATTTGTATCTATAAAAAAATATTAAACATAAAAATAAATCTTAAAAATATATATATATATATATATATGGTGCAAAGAACCTGCCAGATCAACATCATCTCCCACAGTGCCCAGCTACAGTGCTAATTGGATCGACCTGGATCTCACCTCTACTTGAGAAGGGAAGTTCAAATTTAGACCTGAGTACAAGATATTTGGATATCTGGTTACACAAGCCCTTCTGTCATCTTCCCATACTAAAGGGTACTGGAAGACCCACAGGTCTTTACAGCACTATGAGTCAAATCAAATGCTGTTGGTTTTCAAGCTGAACTATTAGAACCTCATGTAACAGAAAGAATATCAGGAGGTTACTATATATAATTTCTAAAATTTTTCTGAACATTCACCAATAAATCACAATTAATGCTGTTGAACAACAAACAGAGCATTTACTTAAATAAGTAGTATCTATAAAATATCTATCTGTTATAAAACAGAATATATATATATATATATACGCACACACACACATATATATATATATAAATGGAAGAAAACTTGACATAATTGAACAAACCAATACCCAAAGGAAAATAAAGGGATAAAAAAGAAAGAACTAAGAACATGCTAATTGGGGCAAAACAATCTCCCAGATCCAGTTCAAGTCCAAGAAAAAAAAAACACTCCAACACAGGTAAAATAAAACTAACTACCAGAAAGGTGCTCAATACACTAAGTAAGCAAACGCCAATATGAACCTAAAGCAAGTAAACCTACACCGGTTTCACTACGAGATCAACATACCCTGGCTTACCCTGACGATCCGTGTAGGTGAAACTCTAAATAATTATAACTCTTAGGATCACTCTCTCTTTATATATATATATATATACATATATAAATAACTGGAGCTCCTACATTTTGAAAACCCTCGAATTCTTTGATTTGTTAATCAAATCAATTCAGAAGAAAAAAGGTTTTAAAAGAAGAGCTACAAACATGAACTACCAAAAATCTTTTGAATTTACTTTGGGTCACCATTTGAAAAACATTACAGTAACAACTTCTTTAACAAAGGCTCAATACAATCCACACACACAGACAAACAACCAACCTGGTTTTTGAAATTGTTGAAAATGTAGGAAACTGATCCCTATATATAAACGAACACACACACACAATAACAATACACAACCTGGGTTTTATAATAAGGCATAACTCGACAGAAAGTTGTCCTCTTTCTATTCATGCGACAGCGATGACTTTAATCGTAAGCCAATTGATTTCTGTGCAAAAAACAACGGTGTTTTTTCCAATTTTTGGCACGGCTGTGAACCACCGCAAGCGTAATTTTGCTGCAGTCCTGTGAAGCTTTGTTGAAATCGGTTGAAAATGAGAAATCTGATCCAATATATAAACGATACTCGTATTTGAGTACACGAACCTTTTTATTTAAGTCTACTGATTTGTTACGCATGTCCGGTTCCTGCCAGGCACATTTTCTTTAATAAGTGTTGTCGAGTGTACAGACCGGCAGACGAAATAAGTAGTATTTAAAAAAACAGAACATCTACTCAAATGCAGGTATCCACTAAAGATGAAGTTTGAAGTAATAAAAATATTTTTATGTATTCTAACCCAAAAAGCCAGAAAGACAAGGGCCCTCGACGAACTGCGTCGTTTATAGCTTTTTCCACTGGCTTCAATATCTTCGGACACCTACTGTGTATATATATATATATATATATATATATATATATATATATATATATATATATATATATATATATATATACAATTTTAAATAAATATTTAATTCATTTTACAAGCATGTGTTTTGAAAAATGTTTATTTTTATTCATCAGTCTTCTCAGATAGATGGCATAGATTGGATAGATATCAGGGTGTTCTTTTTTATTTTTATCTAATTTTAATTTCTCTCTTTTTTATCTGTCTATCTATTAACCTCTATCTAGTCTATCTATCTATCTATCTATCTATCTATCTATCTATCCTATGTGTTGTTCTTTCTTTCTGTTTATCTATCTATCTATCTATCTATCTATCTATCTTATTATTTGTTCTCTTTCTTTCTTTCCTTTCTATCTATCTATACTCAATCTGTTCATATTCTCCTATCTATCTATCTATCTATCTATCTATCTATCTATCTATCTCATTCTGTTCATATCTATTCATTCATCTATCTATCTATCTATCTATCTATCTATCTCAGTCTGTTCATATCTATCTCAGACTGTTCATATCTATCTATTCATCTATCTATCTATCTATCTATCTATCTATCTATCTATCTATCTATCTATGACTCTGTTTGTACTTTACTGTCAGCTGTTGTCAGGTAGCATTCTAACCTACAACACATTGGGAGTCGACATCCCAGATTTTGGCCCTGTGCCTTACCTTCTGTATAAATATACTAACGCCGCCAACTGCGGACAGCAGTAGTTATCAAGCTACGATCGCAGGCGACTCGCTCGTCAAGGAATCTTTGTTCGGTCCACAATGAGCTCTGTTCTATGCTGCTCTTGTGCCAAACATAATCGACCATGTTTGATAGTTGCATATGAGTGAGCGTGTATGTGTGTGTGTATGTGCGAGATATTGTACTACCCCTGAAATTATTGGGATGGGTAGAAATCCATTATTCATATCTATGTAAATTGATTGACCCGGCTTTGAGAACAAGCAACCAACGAGAGTTGGTTGTGATATATCTGTTAATATATGGATTTGGTGATGTTGATAAACAGGAAAATCAGATTGGAAAAGTAGTCGTGGCCTTAAATTTACGATTCATTTTTGCTTCTTTCTTACGGATCTCTGCATTGGCTGTGACTGTTTCAACGTTAGAGTATAATCTATGTTTAAGTTTTGGAGATAGTGAAAGGGTCAGGTGAGCGAGGGGCGAGCTGATGATACAGTAGGTGGATTGGGGAAGATCAGTTTCACCAGTTAGGCCTAGCACAGTCCCAGATCTATCTATCTATCTATCTATCTATCTATCTATCTATCTATCTATCTATCTATCTATCTATCTATCTTTTTTTCTTTCTTTCTTTACAAGTGTTCAGGAAAGTTTTCTGCCCGACCCACAAAGGATTTAAAACGAAACAAAATAAATTGGGATGTTTGATCATTTTATCAGATTTGGAGAATTGTGTTGTGCCAGTATTTTTTGCAACAATCTTTATCTATCTATCTATCTATCTATCTATCTATCTATCTATCTATCTATCTATCTATGAGAGAGATAGAGAGAGAGAGAGAATGAGAGTGAGAGAAATGAAGAAGAAAAGGCAAAGAGAAGTTATTAACGATTGATTCCAGTGCGAATTAACAAGCTAACCGAACGAGACTAAAATAATCGACACAGGCCTTCACGATAAAGAAAAATAAAGAAGGAAAGAATAAGAAAGAGAGAAAAAGAGGAGAAAATGAAATGAGAAAGAATATCTATATATTTATTTCCCTCTCTCTCTCTCTCTCTTCTGGTATTTTCATTTCTATTTCCTACTCTTTCTGTTTCAATTCAACCTCAGCGGAGATTATGACGAATTAGAGAGAGTTGGAGGGCGATGATGAGGAGGAGGAGGCGGGCAGGGGAAGTAAGAGTGGGTGTGGAAGCCGTCGAAACGGGAGTTTGGGGTTACGGGCGGAGGTATTTCCGAGCAACGAGAGGAACGGTGGGAGTAAAGGCCGTCATTGGAGTAGCAGGGTCCGTCGGAGGTGTGACCGTGTCGCAGTCGAGGACCCGCATTGAGATACGTTTTTAGACAAACACAAACCCCAAAGAACCCTTTCTTCCTCTTCTTCTTCTTCTTCTTCTTTGGTCGTATTTTGTTTCTTTTACCCGTTTTTTTTTATTAGCTAGAAAAATGTTCTGCCTTGTGTTCGGTTTTATTTGGTTATTCGTACTTCTCAATTGATCTTCCGTACTCCTCCCCCACAGAATCAACACACCGTCCACTATCTCTTCCTCTTTCTTCTTCTTCTTCCTCTTTCTTCTTCTTCTTCTTCTTCTTCTTCTTCTTATTATTATTATTATTATTATTATTATTATTATTATTATTATTTTCTTCCGTTGATTACACACTTAGATGCGTCCGAGCAATTTTTTATTTATCTTTTTACAAATCATCATCTTATTATTCCTCATCATCATCATCATCATCATCATCATGTATTCGGCATTGTTCGTGTCTTGTACTTGAAGGTGCTGAAAAGTTCTCAGCCAGACTAACTTCTCAATATTTGACCAAATAACCAAACCTAATTAAAAAAAAAAAAAATAATAATCAATTCTTGGTCGAGCCGAGAACATTTCAGCACCCCTTCATATTTTAGACCTACCACTTGCCTTCTTTTTTATTCTTTATTTCTTCTTTTGTTCCTTTTTCTTCTTCCTCTCATTATTATTATTATTGTTGTTGTTGTTGCTGTTTTTGTCTGTTTCAATTTTTTTTATTTTTTTTATTTTTAAAGAGTAGCAAAATTACTTTCCTCTTTTCTTTCCTTGCAACCTTCATTTTCTTCTTCTTTTGTAATTTCTCGGTTTATTCTTACATTTCCAATTCTTAATAAATTCTTTTTTTATCTTTTCATATATTTTACCATATTTTTTCCATCTTCATCTCGACAATTCTCCTTTCGAACAGCGAAAGTGTAAGGAAAACAAGTTTTTCGTTTGAAAGACAAGATCCCGAAATATGAGAGAAGAAGATTTCATTTTTATCTTCTCGGAAGATACTCACTGTCTTGTAAATTCTCGTCAGTTCAATTTACTGGCCGAAGAATTGGTCGATAAAATATATCAGAATAAAAAATTTTAAAAAATAACTGAAGAAACAAAAAAACAAATCATGATAAAAGTATATATAATAATGAAAATATGTGCTTTGACAAAAATATATCACGGCCTGAGAAAAAAAATTCTCGGACTAGTCAGTGAACAATACAGCGTGGACTTAAACTGCAATCAACACTTGAAAATACATCACACACATATTCACACACTCAAAGCAATACACAGAGAAGGTATAATGAATACGCACAGACACAAACACACGCATACACGTACTTATAGCTATTTACTATGGCAGCGTAAATATGGCACAAGGTCGAAAGCATGGAGTACCCACTGAGGATCTGACTACTCAATGTTAATGGATCTAGTTAGTAAAACAAATTTGCTAACCATTACACCACACCGAGATGCCCACGTACATGTATTTGTATACACACTTAAACGTACATATAAATAAATAAATAAAAACAATATATACGCACAATAATCTGTGTATCTTAATACGCATTTTATTCCTGATGTGTAAATTATAAACAAAATTATTTTTTGCATTTTTCTATTTTTCTTGATTATTTTTCAGTTGTTCTATTCCTTGCTTGTTAAATGAACAAAAAAAAAAAAAAAAAAAAAAAAAAAAAAAAGAGGAATAAATAAGTTTCTTTCAAATTAGTTCTTTATAGCTTGGGTACTAGTCTTTCATTGGTACCAAATTAACCATAGAAAAAGTAATTCGTTATAAACTACAGCTAAAAAGGAAAAAAATTCGGCAAAAGACTAATAATAATCATAATAATAATAATATATATATATATATATATATATATATATATATATATATATATATATATATAAAAAATGAAAAAATTTAATCTGATAATTTAAAGCAGACGAGAGTTGTTACCACTACTAAATACTCAAATAAGAAAGTATGGAATAAAGCTGTAATCAATATATATATATATATATATATATATATATATATATATATATATATATATATATATATATATATGAAGAAAATAAGGTCTTAAGATGAGTTATATTTATGGGATAAAGTACCCAATATCAGAGATAGAGCGTATGTAAATATAAAAGTGAACATAGAAGTCATCATTTTAGAGGCGACAGTCTGTTTCATGCTAGATGCAATCGTTAGGCCACGAGTGCATATATATATATATATGCGAGGTATTTAGTTGAAAGTGCTCAATGCCGTGATAGAGCTAATAGATGCGGTTGCAGGGATCGTAGCTTGTAACGAAACCGTGAAACCCGAGGTTACAAACTATTATCCCTGCAACCAGGCACACACACACACACACACACACATATATATATATATATTTATTCAAAATTATGACAAATGTTATGACATCACTACAGAAACTGCAATTTTGTTTCAATACTTCTGGTGTCTTATCAAATGGAGTCGTAAGTTCAAAATCAACCAAACCCCCTCAGTAAAGGTTTGCCCCATATATATATATATATATATATATATATATATATATATATATATATATATATATATATATATATATATATATATATTTATATATATTTATATATATTATATATATATATATTTATATATATATATTTATATATATTTATTTATATATATATATATATATATATATATATATATATATATATATATATATATATATATGTATATATATATATATATATATATATATATTATATATATATATATATATATATATATATATATATATATATATATATATATATATATATACATATATATATATATATATACATATATATATATATATATATATATATACATATATATATATATATATATATATATATATATATATATATATATATATATATATATATATATATATATATATATATATATATATATATATTATATATATATATATACATATATATATATATATATATATATATATATATATATATATAATTATCAAGACTGAGCGGCTTATGTCCACTTTACATTTGCATAAATATATTTGGGCACTTTTTATTGAGCATGTAAATATATATTGAACTATTTTACCCGTAAATAACTTACCTCATAACTATATATATATATATATATATATATATATATATATATATATATATATATATATTGCTTCTAATTTAACTACCCTTGGAAAAGTATGAATCCAACATATCATCTCCCCCACCCCAGTACCCCCAGCTGATGTAAATCGGTGGATCGACCTGGATCTCAACCCCTCTACTTCAGGAGAAGGAAAATTCAGAATTCAAACCTGAGTAGGGATATTTGGATATCTGGTTGCACACAAGCAATATTTCTGTGTCATCCTTCCTTTTAAAAAGAGTACCAGGAAGACACAAGTCTTCAACACTATAGTCAAATCAAATGTGTTGGTTTTAAAGCTGAACTGTTAGAACCTCATGTAACGAAAGATCCTCAGGAGAGTTTACTATATATAATTTCTAAGAAATTTTTCGAACATTCACCCCAATAAATCTAATTAATACTGTTTAATTAACAAACAGAGCATTTACTTAAATAAATAGTATCTATAAAATATCTATCTGTTTATAAACAGAATATATATATATATATATACGCGCACACACACACACATATATATATATATAATACTGGAAAAAGCTTGGCTTGTAATTGAACAAACCAATGCCCAAAGGAAAATAAGGGATAAAAAAAGAAAGAACTAAGAACATGTAATTGAGGCGAAAACAATCGTCCAGAATCCAAGTTCAGAGTCCAAAGAAAAAAAACCTCCAACACGAGTAAAGCTAAAGTAACTATGAAAGGTGCTCAATACACTAAGTAGAGCAAACCTTAATATGAACCTAAAGAGTAGCAACCTATTTGGTTTCACCTACACGGATCGACATGCCCAGCTTACCCTGACGATCCGTGTAGGTGAAACCTAGGTAGGCTTACCTGGCTCTTTAGGTTCATATATATATATATATATATATATATATATATATATATATATATATATACATATAAATATAAATAACTAGACTCTCGTTTCGAAAAACCCTCGAATTTTTGATTTGTTAATCAAATCAATTTCGAAGGAAAAAAGGTTTTAAAAAAGAAAGAGCTACAAACATGAACTTCTGCCGACAAAAAATCGCACAGAGATGCGGGTCTGAAGCCCAAAGAAAAAAAACCCTGATACGAGTAACAACTAACTAACAAAAAGAGCTCAATACAATCGTAGAGCAGACCTAGATACACCAAGCTTTCCCTGACGATCCGTTTAGGTGAAACCTAGGTAGGTTTGTCTGGCTCACTAGGTGTATCTATATATATATATATATATATATATATATATATATATATATATATATATATATATATATACATATTCGAATTCGACGTATGAAGGTCAAGCAGATCAGCCTGACACCAGCACATGAGATTTGATT